CGAGGAATGTACAGGGGCATGTCAGCTAGCTATCTGGGCGTTGCTGAGGGAACTATCCAGTGGGTACTGTACGAACGCATCAAGAGGTGGAAGCCGGCAGGAGAGCGGGGTACGGAATTGAGCACGAAGAACAGCAGATGGAGCAGCACCATTGGAGCTGCGGGCGTTGCAAAGCTTACGGCAAGCCTCATCACATACCCACACGAGGTGAGTCGTCCTAGGTGTTTCTTGTCAAGTCAGTGGTTGGCGCTGATGCTGCGTTGCCATGTTCTTGCGCCATGACAGGTCCTGCGAACCAGGTTAAGACAGCAGCCACCAGCAGGCACGTCCCAGCCCAAGTACACTGGTCTGAAACAGACGCTCATGCTGGTACTGAAGGAAGAAGGAGCAGCGGCACTGTATGGAGGCTTGTCGGCTCACCTGCTCAGAGTGGTTCCCAATGCAGTCATCATGTTCAGCGTCTACGAGCTCGCTCTGCACCTTGGATCTGGAAGCGATGCTGCACAGCAGCAGGTGACGTCTGGTGCTGCAGATCACGCTCGCATAGACGCGGAGAGGAAAGTGTAGCACTGAAGAGATCTTGCGCTGCCATCGCTCTTGCGAAGTGGCAATCCTGGCCCAGCGCTTACCCCGTCAGTCACCACTCAGAGATTTGATGTTTCATGCCTTTAGAATACATGTACAATCTCTTTCATTCACCCATCCTCGCTCGGAAAGAAAAGCCTACGTGACGGGTGCGAACACTCGTCGCTTGTCTTTGCTAAAACGGCTGCGTCACAAGGCATCCAGCGCAAGGCGTGTGACTGCCACGGGTGCTCAAAGTGCGACAGCCCCTCGCGCGTTTGACTTGCCAAGGCTCAGATGCTCGCTTCGCAGCTGGCGACAGAGTGGAGGCATGCATCACAATCAATCTGACCATTTTCCGACACGAACTGAGGATAGCCATGCAATACCTCTGTAATAGAGTGGAACGACGGATGGACTTGCGTGGCATTCTCGACTCTGCACACCTAGAAGGATCACAGGCCCGCTTCGCGCTCGCTGAACGATGCTGGGCGATGCACCATTCGCTAGAATGAATATCATCTAGGAATCATGAATTCATGCTGCAGCATGGTAGAAGTAGTTACATGGAGACGAGACTCCTCCCTGCGTGGAGCGCGACAAAGGAGCCTGTTCAGGATTTGTTGACTCAAAGAAAAAAAAAACAAAAACTCGAACTCGAACTCGAACTCGAACATCATATTACTCATCACTCACAAG